TTTTAGATAGTTGAAATGCAAAAATATATGAAAGGTTAGCAGAATACCTCCCCTACACATGCCCACCCCATAGCTGTTATCTGGTTTCAGGAATTTTTCATCATTGTCAAGAGGGTTTGAAGGAACTCGTCCAGAGTTCCAACAGCAGCCCCGGTAGCTGTCTGCGGTGTCCCCAGCAGAGCGGGGCTTCTGAGAGAAATTCAGAGGAACTAAAAGGCTGTGAGGCTGTAGGCAAATGTATTTAAATCTGTACTATGTGTCAGAAGGAAATAGCCTTACTCATCCATTGCCTATTTGCAGTAGCCATGCATTTCCAAGTAAGGGAAGATTACAAAAAATGTTTCTTTTTTAGTTTATTCAAATATTTATATTTTCTCTAGTTTCTTTTTTGAAGTCTTTTGGTTCATTTTTTTTTTTTTCTGACCAACAACTGCTGTTCAGATTTTCTTTGTTGCCATATTATGAATATTAACTGTAGAACAGATCGGTTTCTTCAAAGGATTATTGGCACGTGCGATTCCGTCTGGATCAGTACATACCAAAGTACAGAAAATGGGATTTAACAATGGACAGTTTCTTCCCTGACCCTAGAAACAGCAGTTTTAAACTTTGTATAATACCTTAAGATTCCAGAGGGAGAAGAGAACGGCCTTTCGAATGCCTCACATGTTTTGAGGGGCCCTCCAACAGAGAGCCAACAAAAGGCAGGCTTCCCCACCTTCAGGCTTACTCTGCCAGGCTGCGGCTCTGGCAGCAGGGCCGTCCTTCCCAAACCTGTTACTGAGCCTTTCACCACCTCTCCTCATGCCCCTCACTCCACCCTCCTCCACTCACAAGCTCACTTCCCTGCCTCTTGCCCTTCTCCCCACTCCTGTCCTGGGCGCTGCGGTTAGAGCTCTGGTCCCTGGTTAGCTGTGCCTCTGCTTACAGTAACAGTCCTGCAGTAAAGGAGACAGTGCGTGTGGGGGAAACAAGTTTGGCTTTGAATCTTTTAAATTTGAGGGCTGTAAGGTTGTTAGGTGGATATGTTCAGTAGGTAATTGGGCACATGGGAGAAACTGGAGTTAGAGGAGTGTGAGGCAGACTGGTTGGTAATACGAGATCCCCCCTGGGCTAGCACCTAGTGTGCTAGATAGAAGGGTTTGTCATTTGGAGAGGAGAGGAGATTTTTCCTTGGGACTGGGTGCAAAGAATGGGTGTTCTTTTTTTTTTCTTTTTTTTTTTTTTTATTAAGGTATTATATGTGTACATATTTTATCAATCCCCCCCCACCACCACCACCACCCACACACACTCCCATACATGTCCTCCCTCCCCAGAGTTTTGTGTCCATTGGTTATGCTTATATGTTCCTGGTGCTGAAAAGAAAGGCAGAAAGGGTGCTTGCTCACCAAAAAGGACAAGAACGTTGTTGAGTGAGGAAGCAGGAAGAGCAGCAGGTGGTGAAGCATGAGGTCCTGTGAGGTTTGGAATGAGAAAACTAGGGGGAGAGGGTTGGTGAGGAAGGATAGCTGAGCAGGATTGAGGGCCTACCCTGAGCCTGGAGTCAGCGTTGTGTGAGAGCACCTTTCCCTCCTGGGATGATCGCCTCTGGCCGTGCTGCATAGCAGAAGTAGAGTGAGGGGCATCAGGAGCTGGGGCTGCCCCCTAAGGGGGCAGGGAATGAACCTAGGGTGTTAACATGAGTGTCAGTAACATTGTCTTCTTTGGTGTGGGAAAGTGAAACCAGGTCACTGGCTGGGCTGGGAAGGAGGGAAATAATTGGCTATTACATCTCAGCTGTGAGAGCACAGCCCTTGCTTATAAATGTGCTTCATAAATGTTGGCTGAATTAGAGTTGAGAGAAAGAACTGCAGGAATCAGAGGTAGTGATGGGATCTTTGATTGAGTGCGTTTTTGCAGTTTGGTTATGGAGCAAGCTGTTTAGTAGGTAGGAATATTGAATATTGAAGCCACCAGGAAGATGGCAGCAGATACAGTGAGCCAAGGGCCATGGCCTCTGCAAAGACCCGTGTCTGTTGTTTATGTTAATGGCATGAGAAATAGCTGTAAGGAGTAGAACTGGCGAGCTTCAGAATGTAGTTGGTTTTGCATGAGGGATGTCCAGGAAGGACCTAATGATTCTAAAATCTACTGCCTGGCCTCTGAGAGTCAGGTGTTGTAGGAATTGAATAATAAACAGGGGAGGACACAACAAAAGGAAAGCCATGTTGGGGGACAAGGTGGGGAAGACATTTGTGAAGAGGCCAAGAGTGTGAGGGCTGTTTAAAATAGTGGGGTTCTCAGGATGGGGGACAGAACAGAAGGGCTGCAGCAGTGATCTTGGCGGAGCACAGGAAGGCTGTGTCAGGATCTCTAGGCTCAGAAGTAGGCTGGTGCTTATGGGAAGTGCAGTGGGACAATAGGGTAGCTACTCTGGAATAAGTACTGATGCCTCTGGACTCTTCATCCAGGGGAACTGTGCCACTCTGACAGATATGCTGCCTTATTGTCCTGTTTGATCCTCATGACGAGTTCCCTTATCTTCATTTTACAACTGAAACTTGGGAAAGTTAGTAATTTTCCTAAGCATCACATAGTCTAACAGTTCCAAACCCAGTTCTTGCTGGCTGCCAATTTGTGCACTTGCTCTCCATGTATGGTCCTGTTCAGAGGTAGTGTGGATACATGGATACAGTGAGTGCTTTCTCACTGTTAGTCCATGAGAATTATTGAAAAGCCTGCTAGCACCCCCTGGTGGCAGTGACCCTGTGGTGGTGTGCTAAGGTGGGAGGGAACACTTCCTAGCCAAGGCATCAGAAAGTCACTTACTGATGTGCAGCAGCAAGAACATTTCCTCCATGAACAGTTGCACTTATCAAATACAGCCATTAACAGTTGTTTGTATGCCTATTGTAACTGCAAAGCAGCCGTTTGTTTGCATCTCCCTACAGCATTCAGGGACTTTCAGATAGAGTGTGAAGGGCGAGTTAAATTGGTTGGATTGAGTCCCTTTTCTTATCCATGGGTAGACACCCCCTTCCCTGGGGCCCTTCCAAAGGCCAGCCCTTGCTCTTACAGCAGGGGTGGGGAACATCATCAGGCCAGTGGGCCATATAAGGTCTGCAGAATCATTTGGTCTGGCCTGCCAAGGCTTTAGGGGTGAGTTCATTAAGTGTTTGACCAAATATAGCAGGCTAACTTTTTAAGTTGACAATTATGTATAGTTCTTGAATGGTGTTATAAATATCCAAGTGGCCCTTGGCAGAAAAAAAGGTTCCCCATCATCTTACATATGGGATGATTCTCTTTCCCAGTTTCCTTTCATCTTTATGATGTCCCCTTTCATTGACTTTTTTTCATTAGCATATACATTTGAATAGCTCCCATTGACAAAAAAAGACAGAAAAGCTTTGAGATTTTACCCCTACCCCAACCCCCTCTACCTGGTTCCAATTCTTCCTTGTTGTTTCTTAAAGAAGATTTGCAAATTGCCAATTATAAAATTACAGTATAGGTAATGTAGTCGTTAATATCATAATAACTATGTATGATTTTAGATGGGTACTAGACTTATTGGGGTGACCACTTGATAAGTTACACAAATGTCTAATCACTATGTTGTACACCTGAAACTAATATAATATTGTATATTAATTATAACTGAAAAAATAATTTTTTAAAAAAAGAATGGGTTCTCAAACCTCTTTCCTGCTACTCTTTTCCTAACCCACTGCCCCTTGGCTTCCACCAAAGCTGCTATGTGACCCCTGAATGGAAGCAGAAAGACTCCATTGGCCCTGGCCATTGTGGCTCATGGTGAGGGGGGGCCCACACACCAAAGGATCATGGGTTTGATTCCCAGAAGTTGGGGCACATACTGAGGTTTTGGGTTCGAACCCCAATGGGAAACAGCCAATTGATGGTTCTCCCCCCTCTCATCCTCTCTCCCTCTCCCTCTCCCTCTTCCTCTCCCTCCCTCTCTCTCCTTCTTCTTTTCCTCCTCTCCTTCCCCTCCCTCTCCCTCTTTCTTTTCCCCTCTCTCTCTCCCTCTTCCTCTCCCTCTCTCTTCCTCTCTCCTCCTCCCCCTTCATCTCCCTCCTCTCTTCCTCTTCCTCTCTTCCTCTTCCTCTCCCTTTCTCCCTCTCCTCCTCCCCTCTTCTTCCCCCTTTCCCTCTCCCTTTCCTCGCTCTCTGGATTCAATGAAAAAAAAAAATGTCCTTGGGTGAGGATTAAGAAGAGAAAAAAAGGGCCCATGGGCAGAACAAAGAATAATGAGAGATATAAGGCCTTATTGAAGGTGGCAGCCATTTTGAATTTTATCCATTGCTTTGCAGTTTGAGCTGTTTCTTCCACGAACATCTTTCTAAGCAGCAAGACTACTTATTTATTGATGCTGGTTGGTTCTTTTAAATCATACTGTGTAGGGCAGGTATTTGATAGATAAATATTGGTATTCCAGAGATATCTTCTTAGTCACCTCTTTTCCCTTTTGGATTCTGACTCACTTAAGAAACAGATTCAGAAGTTAGATGGGCATCCAACCATAAATTTGCTTAATGGTTAAAGTTGGACTAGAGAACGTGGCTTCGATATTCTATTAGAAATTCTTGCCTTGGAATCTGCTTGTGGGAGCGGGTCTGCCAGCCACATGTAGCCCATCAGAGCCTGGTTTTCATCAGCTAGAGAAGGCATTGCTGGCTAATCTTGGTCTATGAATTACACATCTCAGTGGCTCTCCAGGGCTTCTTTTTCAGTGGCTGTGTAGTTCTCAGAAGAATTTCTGAACTCTACATGGCAGATTTTACATGAGTGTGGTAGCTATGAAGAAGACGGTGGCTTACTGGGCTGAATTGTTGTCCAGTTGAGAATTCTTGGACTGTTTCTATTTGCATTTTTTAATAGCAAATTGTACATCTGAAAGGCGCACGTATTCATTAATGAGCCAAGTCAGTGAAGTCAGGTTATCAGTGTCCTTTCTGTTATCACAGGTCCAATTTGTTTATTTCTCCATTTCACAGGTTGAATATAAGCTGGGATTCCAAGTAGACAACTTTGTGGCAATGGACATGCCCCAGGTCAACATTTCTGCTCAGGGGGAAGTTCCACGCACTTTATCAGGTGAGTCTCAAAGACAGTGTTTAACCTACTGATGACAACTGTGTCTCCCCTATCCAAAAAAACAACAAGTTATATTCCCTACTGCTGTGTAGTGCGTCTTTCTGATAGGCATAAGATATATTAGTACTTTGAAAAGTAATTTTTATAAATATTAATGATTTGTACTGAGTGTTAAACTATTCCCTCTTTTCCATCGCCTCTAGAACTATCTGCTCAGCTCTTCCTTATCTCCTCTTCTGCCCTGCTGGCCTTGGCCTCTGTTTGGGTCCCTGTGTTTGGGTCTTGTTCCTCTGGGAATAATTCCCACACCGTGTCCCCCACCTCCATCAACTGACAGCATCCCAGACGCTCCAGTCAGTGTGCTGTAGGTGGACTCTCTGCCCCTGCCTGTCTGGCCTTGTTGCTGCACTTGCCCCAGTGTTCTAGCAGCTCCACATCCATGCAGTTCTGATACCCATGTCTTTGCGTGTGCTGGTCTCTGTATTGGGAACCATCTTTCCCTCTTGTGACCTCCGGTTCACATGTAAATGTCTACAAGTCTCAAATCTGCTCTGTTCTTTTCTTGCTTCCTCCTCTCCCTCCAATCGTTAACCCTTTCTTCTGTTCTTTCTTTCCCATAGAATCTTTATTTCACTATTTTTGAATAGATATACACTATCTTGTAATTCTTTGTGGGTTTTTTTCCTCTCCCTCCTAGCCTGTGGCCACCCGAAAGGCAGGTGCTGTCTTTTTCAGTTCTCTACCATTGGCACCTAGCATAGCATCTGGCCTGGGATAGGCACTCAGGGCTTGTTTCAGTAAATGATTGAAGTGTCATATTTACAACAGTTTAATTACTTTTGGACCAGCCTTTTAAGAAAAGTTACTGAAGATGTGAAATTTTAAGAAAATGGAAATAATTTAAACTTAGAAGTATAAGCCACAGATGTTGAGGAAGTCTTCCTGGCAGTCTTATTCACTGTTACATATTTTTATTGATTTCAGAGAGAGAACGGGACAGGGAGACAGAGATAGAAAATTCAATGATGAGGGAGAATCATTGATTGGCTGCCTCCTGCATGTCCCTTACTCAGGATCAAGTCTGCAATCCAGACATGTGCCCTGGCTGGTAATTGAACCGTGACCTCCTGGTTCATGGGTCGATACTCAACCACTGAACCACACTGGCCAGGCCACACAGCATTATATTTAATTTCTTCATTAAGAGCACTATGTATTGCATTCAGGTGGTGAATTCTTTCCTTTTTATCAAGTAATATTTATTGTAGATGTGGCTTGTAAGGTGGCAGGGTTTGATTTATGTTTCTGTAGCTTAACTGTATCACAGTAAGATAACATATGAGACAGAGTGATACTAAAATCATGAGCAAAAGTTGAAAATAATTTCTTGGTTCTTTAACGCTAACTTTTACATTTGTAATAAATGAAATAATGTCTCAGGCTGTGAAGTCTGAAGATAAATCTTCGGAAAATTTTTTGCTTAGAATTTTATGTAAATGTATTTGTAGTTTTATTAAAACAGAAATCAAATAATTTAAAGATATTTAATAGGCTTTAATGTTGAATTTTAGAAAATTAAAATAAACTTTCTTTTTTTTTTTTTAAACAGTGTTCCGGGTTGAGCTTTCCTGTACTGGCAAAGTAGATTCTGAGGTTATGATTCTAATGCAGCTCAACTTGACAGTAACCTCTTCAAAAAACTTTACAGTCTTAAATTTTAAACGAAGGAAAATGTGCTACAAAAGTAAGGAATTTGTTTACAAATTTATGTATTCTATATAGATTGTAAGAAGGTCAAAAATAGATTTTGTAGTTTTTTTTTTTTACAGATTTGTAACCTATTTCGATTATAATTGTAAATGGGGAAAGAAATATCATTGCCAAATGAAATTCCAAGATAATCAATCACCAGGTCATCTTATAGCCAGGAACCAGCCCTCCCTACTTTCTCAAAACTTTTGTCAGAATTGCTAGGGAATTTTATATTAGAAATATGCAATAGTACTGTAATAGTTGAAGACTATAATAGGTGATTCTGACAGGGCCCCTGAGTGAAGGAGTATTTACTGTATTTCCCTTATGAAGTTACTATTGTACAGAAGCATTGCCTGAGGTCAGATAGACCTGGGTTAGAATTATGGCTATGCTCTTGGCAGAAGTTTGGGACAAATTACTTAATCCAAATCTCAGGGGTTTTTAAATCTGAAAATTGGGCATAATAACCTGTTTCCGAGGTATGTTTTGTTTTAGATCGAGTCTAGCCTAAAATTTAGAATACCATTTGTGGGTACTTAAATATTAGATATTTTTGCTTTTGAATAATTTGTTACTCAAATTATTATGCTTACAATGTTCCAAGTACTTTACAACATTAAATCCATTTATTTTATTTTTTTTAAAGTTTTTTTTTTTTTTTTGCTTGCTTTCAGAGAGAGGAAGGGAAAGGGAGAGGGAGAGATAGAAACATCAGTGTGAGAGAGAACCATTGATTGACTGCCTCCTGTTCACTCCTTACTGGGGATATAAACTGCAACCCAGATATGTGCCCTGACCAGGAATCGAACCATGTCCTCCTTGTTCATGGGTCAACACTCAGCCACTAAGCCACACCAGCTGGGTACAGAAACCCTTTTTTATTGAGCATCTATCTATAAGGAACACCCTTTGGTTATTGATGATTATAGTGATAATTATTAGAATAATAATCTATCATTTTTTATCTTGCAACAGATATCTTAGTTCAGGCAGTGTTCTACTATAACAAAACTAGGCTAGAGAAAACTTACAAAATGTAACGATAATATTTAAGAATTTTTACTGAAAATAATTTCTAAAGCATTTTCTTTCTTTTTAATTTAGAACTTGAAGAAGTAAAAACTTCAGCATTGGACAAAAACACTAGCAGAACTATTTGTAAGTGTTTCAGTATTATCCTTCTCCTTCGTTAGGGATGAAAATGGTGATTAGAAATGAACATGATTACATGAAGCTTGGAGACCTTGTGGTTTCCAGTTTGTCAAAAGATAAACACCTTGCTGTTTAATTTGCTGTCTTGTAGATTGGTATAGTCAGATAAAACTACTAGTATACTAAACATTTCCAGAAGTAAAATTTGTATTCTATATAATGAAAGCCTAATATGCTAAGTGTTCAGTCATCTGGTCAGCTGTTCAACCAATCAAAGCATAATATGCTAATGATATGCTAAGGTCACTCAACCACTCACCATTGACGTGCACTGACCACCAGGGGGCGGATGCTCCAACTGGTAGGGGTCTGGCTGATTAGGACTGAGAGAGTTGGGCTGGACGCACCTTGAAGCCCTCCTGTGGTCCTTCCCAGCTGGCCAAATTTCCGTGCCCCTCCCTGGCCCAAACATGTACCGTGGGGTCCCTCAGCCTGACCTGCACCTTCTTGCAATCCAGGACCCCTCGGAGGATGTCGGATAGCTGGTTTTGGCCTGATCCCTCAGTCCAGGTCGAGGAACCCCACTGGTGCACAAGTTCGTGCATCAGGCCTCCAGTGTTTCATAACAAGTGATCTAGAAAAAAAAAATTTTTTTTAAAATATATTTTATTGGTTTTTTTCAGAGAGGAAGATAAAGGGATAGAGAGTTTGAAACATCGATGAGAGAGAATCATTGATCAGCTGCCTCTTGCACACGCCCTACTAGGGATGTGCCCGCAATCATGGTACATGCCCTTGACCGGAATCGAGCCTGGGTCCTTTCAGACTGCAGGCTGACCCTCTATCCACTGAGCCAAACTGGTTTCGGCGATCTAGAAAAATTTTTAAGCAAGAATTCATATCACATTTCAAATGATTATAATTAAAGTGTGAACGTGAAATACGTGTAAGATCTTCATCTCTTTAGCAGGTTAGAAAATCTGATTTGTGACCTAGACCTAACCCTCAGCTAATTTCTTCCAGGTGAACGTGTCAGCTTAAAGACAGATACCATGTTATTTAAACCTACAGAGCAGAAACTCAAAGTAGATTTTTGTTTTTATGGTAATGGTTATATTTAGATAGTAACTTCTGTTTTCCTTCTCTGACATGGACACATCATTGAGACTTACTCTCCCTGAGGTAGTTTTAATAGCAGTACCATAAAAGATTACTAGATTGTACTTGTGCAATCAGGTCTGGAGGACCAAGAAGCCATTTGGTTTCTTTGCTTTAATCTGTTCTGATTTCTTGTTTGTGGACTCCAAGTTTAAGTTTTAGAAAGTAATCTTTTCCCCAAGGGCTTGAAAGCTCTAACTTTTACCTTTTCTTTCAACTTATTCCCACACTTGATATCTCCACATAGATGTGCATGAAGTATTCTCGGACAGAACAGAGCTCTGGATCCTCCTCCCCTGGCCTGCTTCCTCCTTGTCTTTGTAAATGTGCCATTATTCACCTGATTCTTTAAGTCAAAATTTTGATTCCTCTTTTTCTTTTCACTTCAGTATAATCTACGAGCAAGGCCTGTTAATCTGCTTCCCAATCCATTCACTTCTCTCTCCACTCCACACTATTGCTCCAGCCACTGCTGTCTCTTTCTTGGACCTCTCACTCTCCCTGCATCTGCTCTGCTGCCCCTTCTCCCCCCAAGCATTCTCTACACAGCATGCAGTCAGCAGTCTGTTTTTTCTTCTACTGTGATAATGTGTGTCATTCTTTTGCTTAAACCTTGCAATGGTTTCCCATTTCACTTGGGATAGAACCCAAATTCCTCAGGTTTTATCCAGTAGAATTACCATGTAAGTACTCATCAAAACTCAAATCTCCAGTCACACCAATTATGGTCTCTGTCTTCCATTCTGTTCCTCATTTTTCTGTCTCTTTCTCAGTTTGCTTCTGTGTGTCTCACTCTGTCTTCTAAGTTATTTTCTCTATTGCTTGGGCTTCCTTTCTCTCTCTTTTTTGAATAACTCTGAGTATTATCTTACTTCATAAATAGTATTTTTTTTTTTCTGTTTTTATCTTTAAAAAACAGATAAGCAAAATAATTTGTTACTCTCAAAAGGTTAAATGCTTATAGTTGTTGTTCTTAAACATAGGGGTTGCTATGTTATATATTTCTTCTCCTGGTGGCAGTGTGTTCGGCTGATCTGCCTACTTCAGCATCACTGCTGAGGAAGTATGAGGATCTAGAGATCTGTGCTGTCCAATATGATAACTCCTAGCCACGTGCAGTTATTTAACATTAATTTAATGAAATAAAAGTAATTCTTCAATTTCTCAGTTGCACTAGCTACTTTTCAAGTGCTTAGTAGCCACAGGTGGCCAGTGGCTGCTGTATTGGTCAGCTCACTTAGAACATTTCCATCGCCATAGGTGGTTTATTATATGGAGCCGCTGTGACTTGTATACTCATTAACCAAAAGTTATATTTAAAACTCTTTTCTAAAAAGCTACACACACAAAAAAAAAAAACATTTAAAAAATTTGTGTGAGCTTACTTCAGTGCACTACTGGTAACTGATGATATCAGAGAATGGACACATGAAATGAAAACCTTTTTTTTACAAAGAACAGGATACTTATAGTGTATATTAGGTCACAGAGCAATTGGTGAGTTAATTTAAAAAGCTTGATGTACTTTTCATTTTTGTTTCAGATGATCCTGTACATGCAGCTCCCACCACTTCTACGCGTGTGTTTTATATCAGCGTAGGGGTTTGCTGTGCAGTAATATTTCTCGTAGCAATAATATTAGCTGTTTTGCACCTTCATAGTATGAAAAGGATTGAACTGGATGACAGGTATTGTACATATTTTGGGAAAGTAAGGAAATAAAAGTAATTATCTGCATTTGCTTGGGAGCCCACATGTGTGCAGTGGTGCAAGGGAGAGAGAGAGGATAATCAAGTCCCTAAGCAAAGGGAAAATTACTGTCTCTTTGATTGCTTTCATTGTGATTCTCTAATTTTTTTTTTAAATTTGTGAAGTCAAATTACAGATTATTAGTTGGTAAAGAAGTTGAGATAAAAATTTCTGCCTCATCCCCTTTGATATGATCCTACAGCAGACTCATAGTAACTTTCAAAAATAGCCCTGGTACTTCCTCCTACTTTGTTCCTCCATCATCATCCATCCCTCCATCCATTAACATTTCTTTAAAAAAATGTTTTTGTTGATTTTAGAGAGAGAAAGGGATAGAAAGATAGAAACATTAGTGAGAGGGAAACATTAATCACCTGCCTCCTGGAGATTGAGTCCACAACCTGGTAATGAGCCCTAACCCGGAATCAAACTGGTGACCTCTTGATTCATAGGTCGACCCTCAACCACTGAGCCATACCAGCTGAGCCCCAGTAAACATTTGTTGAGAACCTGCTCTAATTTAAACCATCCGTTCTCAACCTGGGTGCACATTAGAATCATAGGTAAACTTAAAACATGCCAGTCTTTGGGTCTCCTCTTCCAGAGAGTCTGATAAAATTGGTCTGAGGTGGTGTTTGGGCATCATTTTTTTTTCTTTCTTAAAGCTTCCTGGATGATTTTAATGTGTAGACTTTGAGATAAACTAGGTTACATAGGCTAAGTGCTGGGAATAATAAAATTAATGTTATTCCCCTTAGCTTCAGGTATTTAATCTTTGAAATGAACCCATAATTAAGAAGTTTTATGAAGTTGATGATTATGGTATGTGTATTATTGTGTGGGATACAGAAGGTGCTGGTCCTAGCCTGGGTGAGTCAGAGATGACAAGGAAGGCATTACAATCAGGATAGGGTAAAAGGTCAAGAAGGAGTGATAGACAGTTTTATTTTTCTAAGACACCATTCTTGTCTCCTGCCTCAGGGATTCCCAGTTGCTGACTGAAGACATCCCCAGCAGCATGGATTGGCTGTCAAAGCTCTGCTTTATGCAGAGATGTATCTCCTTTCCTCCTTGAGCCTTTCTCCTTTCTCTCCATGTTCTTTCCAGCTGCTCTAGTCAGGTGGTTACTTGTCCCTCACTTCAGCCATACACTCTGCCCTTGAGGACTTTTGTTTAGAATTTCCTTTTGTCCACAGGCTCCCTACATTTCCACCAGTCCAAACTCTGTTCATTCTTCACACTTCTCTTTCATGAAGTCTTTTCTAAGCCTCCCAATTACCCATTTCACTCTCTTCTCTATCTCTCCTTCTCCCTTTCTGTCTCTTTCTTTGGGGTAACAATTATGATACCTTTTCCTCCTGAAATCGTTTCTCTTTGTACTTGTCCTCCTACTAGAATGTAAGCTTTGTCCAATTAGAGAGCAGTGTGTGTTACTTATTGCTGAGTCCCCAGTCCTAACACAGTGTTGTTCACACATTGGGTGAGCACATTTGTGGCCCAACAAAGCCCCAGGGCACAGGGAGCCTACCTAAATTCAGTACCTGCCCTGAAGTTCTCTCTGTTCCCATTGTTTTACTTTCTTTACTTTCTGAGTCGAGAAAAAATAAAAAAGGAGATGCAAATGAAAAGAGAAATACATGGGTGATGTGTTTTGGAGTATGTTTTGTATATGTGATGGTGTTGAAGTTAGACTTCGGTTTTATAGAGGACGAAATGGTCTTTGGAAGCACCGAGGGAGAAGTGAGTAAGGGAACAGGTAGAGTTAGAGGAGCATTGAAGAGCATGACACTTCGAGGTCAGTCTCGATGCACACATTTTCCTTGAGTGCTTGCCTGTGTGCCAGGGCTGGGAACCCACAAGGCCAGAGTTGTGCAGGCGCTTCCCGATTCCTCGGGGTATGTACCTCTGTCTGCGGAAATAGCCTGTTACCACCCGTGAACTGGTCCCAGTTCTCTTTAGCTTTCAGGTGAATGTTTCCAGACATTGCCTGAATAAAAGCAACTTACATTATCACCTGTTTTCAGAGCATAGCCTAGTAGTTAGGAGCTTGGCCTCTGGAGCCAGAGCATTTCTGAATTCTGTGTCCTGCTTACTAGCTTTCTGGCCTCAAGAATGTTATGTCGCTTCTTTATGTGTCAGTTTTCCTCATCTCTAAAGCGGAGTGCACATGCTGTTGTAGTAGAGGCACATGCTGGAGATGTTGTGAACTTACATAAATTAAGGGCCATTATTACAATTTTGTTTTTAGAAAGGTTCAGTGTGGTTAGTAGTGATGGACTAATTTATTCTGCTTTTTTCTGTTCTATTAGCCACAGTTATGTGCCTGGCAAGCTAACAGCGGTAATTAGAAAGTTCCCATCCAGTAATCCAATAGCATTTAAGGACACATACTTCCCTCTGCACAGGGCCCACTGAAATCTCAATGGCTGCCGTTGTATTGAGTGCTTTCTGTTTACTAGCACTGTGCAAGCACTTTACATGTATTGACACTCACATCACCTATTGGAGTGAAATTGTCCTCATTTTAAAGATGAACAAACAGGCTCAAAGAGGTTAACTTTTCCAGAATAGCAGTGCCAGCACCAGGCCAGAGCAGCAGGAGACATTATTGCAGTAGCTCAGTATCATAATTGTACAAAGCATTTGTTGCGTGCCCTGCACTGTTACACATGCTGGACCCCCATTAATTCCCCTAATCCCCTAAACCACAGCCCTGTGCCGTTTGAGGGGACCCATGGCTCCATGGAATTTCCGGGACAGGGATGATGGGGAGTTCCTCGATTCCAGGCATTCAGGAGCCGAGTCCTGCTGTACACAGAGTTTCTTTAGAGGCAGAGAATAAACTCCCTGGGCTTGCTCCTGCCAGGGGCACTGGGTCCCATGTGTGTAGCTGTCCCTGTCCTGACACCATAAGGTGACCTTTCTGTCTCAGTCTCGTGTCAGGCGAGATTATCCTGAGAGGCAGAGCTTCTCACCACATTCACTCTGGGGCCCTCCCCCAATGGGATGCTTGCACCCTGTCCACTCTGTGGCCTTCCCCTGTTAGTTCATGACTGCAGGGAAGTTCGTTCCTCTTTTGTACTTGAACTTGCTATTTCACAATATCTTCATTTTCCATTATCTCCACTACCCTACCACCCTCACCATTACTAGTGACGAGGTCATCTATATTTATTTATTTTTTAAAATATATTTTATTGATTTTTTACAGAGAGGAAGAGAGAGAGATAGAGAGTTAGAAACATCGATGAGAAAGAAACATCAATCAGCTGTCTCTTGCACACCCCCGACCGGGGATATGCCCGCAATCAAGGTACATGCCCTTGACTGGAATTGAACCTGGGACCTTTCAGTCCACAGGCCGATGCTTTATCCACTGAGCCGAACTGGTTTCAGCTTTATTTTTGTTTCTGTATCTAGTGCCTAACAGGTCTCAGCTAAAGGAATGTTAGATGAAAAATTTGTTGATTGATGAATGAATAAAGTGAGGCAAAAACCACTTTGTTATGCCAGGGTTGGGGAACCTTTTTCTGCCAAAGGCTATTTGGATATTTCATAACATTATTCATGGGCCATGCAAACTTATCAACTTAAAAATTATCTGCTATATTTGGTTAAGCATTTAATTACTCATCCCTAATGCCTTGGTAGCACTGAGAGAAATGAGGTAACAGGAATGATGCAGGGTCAGACCAAATGATTTCTGGGGCTTTACACTGTCGCCGCGGCCTGGATGTTCCCAACCTCTGCATTATACCAATAATTTTTTGCCTCTCAGTATATGTCACCAACTCGTATCAGAAGCAACTGTTCTGTCTTTTTGTTACAAGGAAGTACAGGTTTCTCTGCTCAGTGATCGAGTTCATAGTTGTTCCCTGAGCTGTCACTGAGGCGCGATGGGGCCGCTGGGCCTGCAGTGCCAGGTGCTGGCTTCAGTGCTGGGAGGAGGAAGAGAACAAGCAGGCACGCTCCCAATCGCAGGGCCTGATAGCGGCCTTCGCAAGGCAGATGGTGAAGAAGAAATAAATCCCTGCTGCCCAGCTTCACTAGAGGGGTCTTTGCATGTTATGTCCCCTGCCAGGTCCCCAGCACACCATCTAGCATGTAGTAGACACCTAACAAGTATTTGTGGAATGAATAAATAAGGTTTCAGAGAAACACAAATTGTAATAAGTGCTATGAAGGAAAATGATGCTTTGCCCTAACTCTTAACTTCAACTCTGAAACAGAGTTAATATCCCCATAACTAATCTCACTTGCTTATGAAAATCATATTAGGCAATTTATTTATTCTGGTTTTAAACTATTACAGTAAGTGCTAGAAAACATACACTTTTATCCCATTTTCTACCTCATGTGATACAGCTACTTTATATAGATTACGGGGTTAAGAGTTACCAGGGGATCCACACTGCTGCCCGCTTCTTTTTTAACAGTGAGTCTGGGGTTTACAGGTTTGTTTAACCGCTTAACATAGTGCTTTACTCATTGTAGGGACTCACTAAGTATCTGTTGAACAAACAAAAAATTGGCATGGACATACTCATAACATCTTGGTATGCCCACAGTTTCAAGAATTCTGAGTTGGTACAAGAGTGCCACCTACTGGAGATCGTAAATAATTTGGGATCTGAGCATTCTCCCACTAGTGTATGTTGGTTGCAAGGAAATATTTAACTAGTATTTTCATATTACAACTCGAGCCTCAAAAAATCCTGGGTATAGGTATTTCTTTATTCAATTTTGTGGGAAATAAATTGAAGTTCCTTATTTACCCCCTTTGGGGGATGGGAATGCTTCTTTCCCCCCCCCCTTGTTATTGAATCCTGGACATATAACAACTTTGTTTTCTAGGGTGATCTTTGAGTAGCACTCCAGAAATGGGTGTCTTGTGCTTCCTTGTCATTCTAAGGCTTGGGGATGCGAAATATTAGTAATAACAAAAATAATCAATATAATAATTTGTAAATGCTCTGTTATTCCATCATCTGTATGTCATTTTATTTTGGGCCATCATTAAAAGAGACCTCTTTTTCTGATTCCTTTTCCTAAAAACAATCTAATAGAAGGTGATTTATAGTTCTGTAACATTGTTTATCATGGTGTGAGGTTCAGGGCGGCTACTGTCTGTGGTGTCTTAGGACTGGCACCTACATTTCTGTATGACTTTGATAGGTGAACCTGCTTGATGATTGTGTAAGTAGAAGGGAAAGAAAACATTTAGAGATTGTTAAAATTTTCAATATGAAACGTTTGTGATGGAGATCCATGCATTATTGCCATCTCCATCAGGACTTTAAATTAGTTATAATGTCTATATGCTTTTTGTGTGTGTGGAGAAAGGAAATTTCTCATTGAAGCTGACTTGCCAAATATTTCTCTTAATTATTTGCAGCATCAGTGCCAGCAGCAGTTCTCAAGGGCTGTCTCAGCCATCTACCCAGACGACTCAGTATCTGAGAGCCGACACACCCAACAATGCAACTCCTATCACCAGTAAGAGTTAATTTATTTCTAAAGTTGATTTACTAAAGTTGTCTGTGGTCTGTCTGTCAGTGGTCCTGTGTGGTTATGGGACATGTTTACCATACTACGTACATAGGGTCTGATTGTACAATTAGGCCTGGTCCTCAACTTCTGCTTTCTAGAACATTGAATGAAACATTCTGCAATTGGAGTGTGAAAAATAAAATTTAAGTTTAATTGCTATATTTAATCTTGTGGAGATTTCCATAAATTAAGAATATTAAAGAACTATAAAATCACTCCTATAGAAATTGGAAGGTAGGTTTTCAGGTATTTAAGTAAAGCCATTGAGCTGCATGAAGACAGAGATTTGGATTTTAATACATTGTTTGATGGTCTGATGGGCTATGGTAAGGACTTGACATTGTTTCCTAATCTAGATAGGACACTAGCTGCTATTAGAATTGAGAGCTCGAGATCTGATTTTCTGTTTTTTTAATAAGGGTTTTTTGTTAAAGTTCACCCAAGGATATTTTTAGAGAGAGAGGTGGCAGAGGGAGGGGAAAAACATCAATGTGAGAGAGAAACATCAGTTTGTTGCCATCCACACACATATCCCAACTAGGTCCAGGTATCGAACCTGCAGCACAGGTACATGCCCTTGACCAGGAATTGATCCAATGACCCAACAGTGTGTAGGTCTGATGTTCTAACCACATAGCCACACTGGCCAGGGCTTGAACAGGATTTTGATAAAAGTTTTTATACTGGAACTTGTAGATGGGAAATTATCATTCATAGAGTATAATGTAGACAAAGAGGAATCAGTCACCATACAAATAAGGAACAAGGTAACATCAAGATAGACAGTAGGTCACAAGTCAGGGCTCCACTCATTGGTGCTGTTGATGAATTAGGTTCTTGTAGGTATTAACCGTTACCTTCCTTGGGCTAGCATTTTTCTTTAGTAAACTAATAATAAGAATATCTATTCTTCACCCACTGCCCTCTTGTGGTCTTTCAATACTGTTTCCCAGTAAAAAGAATCAGGATTCTTTGGTGAAATGCATGGTTCCAGGATTGAATCAGGAATGGACCAGATAACCCGTTGCTGAGCCAAAAATTAAGGGAGCTGCGAAAGACTTGAAGAGCTCCCAAAACGGGCCCATTTGAACATCTAAAACGATGATGACTGCGTGGACTTTATGATAAACTATATAAACCCACGAGTTCATAATGATATCTTTTTAAAAACTTGATCATTCTCAGGTAACTAAGGTACCAACAGACACCTTACTCTGACAACTGGCTCCATGAGTTGTGTTTCAGAGTAACCAGACAGTGCTGGTTCATGAGGCAAAATGTTTCCTCACATAAGACTCTCAGCTGATAAATATGGAAGGAATCATAGAATTATAAATTATATCTGTAATCCCAATAAAATGTTTATTCAGGAAAAGATCATCAATATTTAAAACCCTGTGAGAAAGGGAAATGTGAACTTCACCATTTGAGGGATCAGATTGTCACACCTGAACCCACTCCTGAATCTAGTGTCACGAAAAGTAGGACAAGTAGATATTTTGCATTCACATTTGTGAAGCACTGGCCCTGGGCTTTTCTTGTTTCTCCTCCCAACCTCAAGAGTTAACCGGGACCTAATCAGATCTAATCAAGGCTATAGAAATGATTTATAATTTATAAAATATACAGAAGTTAAATGATATTTGAAAAAGCAGGTGCCAGCTATAAAGAAACCTGGTCAGTTATTCTCTAGAATAACTGACCAGGTTTCTTTAATAAAATAGTGGCAAGAAAGAAAAGAAAAAAAGAGGGGGTGGTTAAAGGGGCTCTCTAGATGAAAATAAATTAAAAAAAAAAAATCTTAACAGTAATTGCCATCACCACCAACAAAAGAAATATATGCTCCTCAGGAAATAGGATAATCGATGTGAAAGTAGTCCAGAATGTTCAGCATAAACAAAACATTGCTTTTACTGGTAATGTTCAGATGTCAGACTTTGCTCTTGGGAGTCAATTTGTCATTGTAGATATAACCTTAAAGAGGGAGATAATTCAATTATTGTATAAGCTGAAAGCAAAATACTTTTTTAAAAAGTCAGTGGGAATACATTTATTTATTAAAATACTTTTTTAGTCACCATCAATAAAAAATTTCCTTACTTTTGTGGATATAACCTTAAGTAGATAGATTATTTATTATATATAAGATGAATACTTAAAAAAAAAAAAACAAGCTCAATGGAAATGCATTTGTTTATAAATTTAAAAAAGAAAATAAAAAGGAGCAGAAAAAAATATCTGAAGACATAATGGCCAAGGATTTTCCAAAATAACAAAACACAACAGACCACAAGTCCAAGAAACTCAGAGAACTCTAAGCAGGATTAAACAGATACGGATACTCACATTATACCTACATTTAGGCATGTCTTGGTCAAGCTGCTGATAGTGCCATCAGGTTGTCAGGCTAATCTATCCATTGTGAAGCTCCCCAAAGCCTTGCAAGTCATTCTTCTAGCAGCCATTGATCACCACTGTGTAGGCCACTAATATTTCTGGGATTTTTCTTTTCAATCTCTCCCAAAGCAAATCATTAGAGATAGCATTCTAATATTACCCTTGCTAACACTGGGTCTTCCTTTTATTCTAATTTTGGGGGTTGGGGATATGAGAATTTTAATTTATAGCTAGAATGTTGTTTTTCTGCATGTTAAAAAATGAGTAAGAGTTAAGGGAACTGAAAAACCAATATGAATCTCACAATGATAGGACATAGGCTCTGTGGATATCAGAATGATTAAATCGAGTACACATTTTGTTACACATTTTTACAAACATCTCTTCCTTTGAAAAGTTCTTTTGCTAGGAGACTATATTAGAAAACCTTTTGTGAAGCAAACAGTCCATAAGATGGATTAAATTGAATTCCATGAATCAAAGCTTGTTTCATTTGGCTGAAAGTCAGTTGAAGTAGCAGTGATGGTAACATTATTTTTAGTGTTTCTTATTTTAATTCTTCATTTTAAGATTTTGGGCTAGGTGGAAAAGTGTTTCTTTAAAATTGAGTATGGCCTACATAAGTAATTTTGACTGTTCATGTATGTGCACATTCCTTCATTCCTGTGACCTGAGTCCTAAGGTCCTAATGACCTAGTTGACCATGATGCCATCCTTAGGGTATTTATATTTCTTGGTTTGGCTTTGTTGGCTCCTCAGGTTATCCTACCCTGCGAATAGAGAAAAACGACCTACGAAGTGTCACTCTTCTGGAGGCCAAAGCTAAGGTGAAGGATATTGCAATCTCCAGGGAGAGGATAACTCTAAAAGATGTACTCCAAGAAGGTATTTATTATCTCAAAATCAGGTTTTCACAGAAGATTTAATGTTAGTACCAACAAATTTTTTTTTTTTCAAATTTTAAGAATTTGATTTTATGTCTAAGGATAGAAAGCAGTGCATAATTTATTTCCTTTGTAAAACTGATTTTATTTCCCCCTTCTTTAGATGTTTAATTCAACTTAGTACGGCTTTGGTGCAATTCTTGATCTTCAAGTATATTGAAGCACTTATATTAATGCTTGTTCCCTTTAAAGTATATTTTCTTTCTGTTTAGTGATTGTTTAAAGATGATCACAACCTAGCAGGCCTCTTTGAAATATTTTAAGTAATTTTCTCTCTGGCATATAGTGTGGGGTTCCAGCAGAAGGAGCGTGCTTGAGCTTTGGAGTTACACCCAACTTCCAGTTGCATTCCTACAGCCTTGGAGAAATTACTTCATATATTCTGTGTCCAATTTTCTCTTCTGTAGGTTTGGCTAGTTACGATGTGTTAGTCTACGCTTAGGCTAGTTACGATGAAATGATGCACATTAAATGAACTAACACATTTAGGTGTTTGATAGATATTAGTACCTTTTCCTTCCCCACTTGTTGGTCCTTGCTTTGAGTTTTAGGATATTGTTTGGAGAGATGCTGAAAGAAGAGGACAGAAGTTAATAATAAATACTTTGTTGAGCTCTTCAAGTTGTTAAATACAGAGTTACATTCTCCCCACCCCACCCCATAATTCAGTTAGGAATGTTTTGGATGCATGAGTCATTTGAATTTATCTGTTGGTCAATCAGTAGGTCAATCACAGCTAATTGGGGACCTTGAACTGTCCCCAATGGCAAATAGTAATCAACAGAAGCAGATTTTTTGTGTCTGTTTTTGAATTCGTGAGAATAGTCCATTTCTCTCCTTTGTCATTGTGTTGAGGCTAAGCCCAGAAGTTCAGATACCTCTGTGGATACCCTGCTGCTGAGCTTCAGTGCTCCTAGCTGTATCACTGGTTTATTTAGAATAATTCAGAAAGATTTCGCATGTACTTGTGAGATCTGATATTTCTGAAAGCAAATTATTTCTTTAAAAAAATTTTTTTAAAATTTATTTCAGAGAGAAAAAGGAGAGGGAGAGATAGACACATCAATGATAAAAGAGAATCATTGATTGGCTGCCTCCTGCATCCCCCCTTACCGGGGATCGAGCCCACAACTTGGTCATGTGCCCTTGACTAGAATCGAACCTGGGGACCTTCAGTCCGCAGGCCGATGCTCTATCCACTGAGCCAAACCAACTAGGGCGAAAGCAAATTATTTTATAGTAACAAATAACTTCTAACAGTCATTAAAAAAACAAAGATTTGTGTCTTCTTACTCCAGGGCTATAGTAATGCTGTTGATCACATATACCCTTGTTATGTTTAAGTTATATTGTGCCAGAAAGTTTTGTACTTATAATTTTATGAAGGTTATTTTATGATCTCTTTCATTTCTTTCCCGTTTAGGTACTTTTGGGCGTATTTTCCATGGGATTTTAATAGATGAAAAAGATCCAAATAAAGAAAAGCAAGCATTTGTAAAAACAGTTAAAGGTAGGAATTTTTTCCATACTATTTCCATAAAGCTTTCCTGTCTAAGGTGGCTTATGCCAGCTAAATTCTGCCTTAAATTCTCAGTGTGTGCCAGACCTTTATAAATCAGTCCAGGTAAATTTAGCTCATAAGGGACTATTAAAGAGTTTTGGGTAGTTCTCATTAAGGTTAGAAAATAGAAGTCTAATAAATTAAGACCTTAAACATTTATTAGATATTACTCAGGCTTTTAGTTAAACTGCATCCACTTGACTTCATTATTGCTACATATAATATTGTAGTTTTCCTAAGTTAAAAGTCTTTGGTTTTCACCCTTAAAAAAACACATTGTTTAAGGGGGTGAGAGGGAATAGAAGAGCATAGGGGTGATAAATATTGACAGGAGACTTGACTTGGGGTGGTGAATACATTGTACAATATACAGATGATATGTTATAGAATTAAACACTTGAAACTTACATCATTTCATTAACCAGTGTCACCCCAATAAATTCAATTAGAAAAACATTGTTAATAATTTTCCCTCCTCTCTCTCCACCTGCCCAGTACTGAACACTATAAAGAAAAAAGATGAGCCCTGATTCAGTTGGTTGGAGTCTCGTCCTATGCGCCAAGGGGTTGTAGGTTTGATTCAATTCCCAGTCAGAGCACATATAGCAGGCAACCCATTAATGTTTCTCTCTCTCGCTCTCTTTTTTCTTGAATCAATAGAAATATATCCTCAGGTAAGGATTTTTTTTAAAGATGACCCACTGTACCTTATGTCAATTTCCTTCCTCCTGCCCCTGCCTTTGCCATATATTGCTGCAGAAAATATCCATATCCATATGGCCATGTGTGGGTATGTCTTGGTATAGTTTTGCATGAATAGCCATAGTAGTACTTGGCTGCCCCAAGAGATACTACATTTAAAATTTTGAAAGATATTGCCAGATTGTTTTCTAAAAGGTGTATTGTAATACTAGTTTATATTTTCATGAATATATTAACCACTTGGATAAATGTGATACCTACTTTTTCAATTATTGATTTGTATCAAAATTTTAAAAGATTTTTTTTTAATTGAAATTTTTTAGAGAGAGAGGAGGGAAGAGGGAGTGAGAGAAATGTCTATGTGAGAGTGAAACATTGATCATGCAGCTGCCTCCTGCACGAACCCGACCAGGGATCCAACCTAAAACCTGGGCATGCACCCTGACTGGGAACCGAACTGGCGACTCATTTCATGGAATGGTACCCAATCAACTGAGCCACACTGCTAGGGCATGATTTACATAAATATTTTAATTAGAGATTTTTCTAACAAAATATATTAGAATATTATTTATATATGGCTTATTCCCTAATATTAATAAATTAAATACTAGCAAGACTTTAAAATATTAGAATTTTAATTATTTATATTTGATGTTTCTAAGAGATTAAATAATTCTTAGTATTTAAGAGGAAGAAAAATGTGGGATATTTCCAAAATTTATGTCTGACACTTATATAGATTGAGATGACAAGATATTAATTTTAAAAAAACAAATTTAACATTTTGAATGCAGAAATTGAGGGAAAAATTCAATTCAATTTTATGAATAGGAGGTGACAACTTTATGAAGTTTACAAAGTTGGTTTGAGAGAACTTGTTTCTAAATTTACTTAAGGGGATTCATGGAAGGCATGTTTATTGTTTCTAAAAAGTTGGGTTGTACTAATCTAACAAAAATTCTTTGGGATTTGAATTTGATTATTTGAATTTAGTAGCAAAATTGCTTGTTTAAGGGTGGTACAAACACACACTTTTTATCTTTTCTAAGTAGATGGTGTAACTCACTATATTGTTCAGTGTTTATATTATTCACCCACTTTTTCTAGCCCCCAAAATAATTTTAAAGGTTATCATTTAAATCAGGTCCCAGCAGATTTTCTGCCTAGTTTTTGTTTTTGTTTTTGTTTTTGAAGGGGGAGTGTCTTTATTGATTAAGGTATTATATATGTATCCTTATCCTCCCATTCTTGCCTAGTTTTGAAGGATAGTATACATTGTACTCTTCATAAATATAAACTTTGAACTCTAAATTTAATAACCACTGCCTTTGGTTACACTTTCCCCATTTTTTAAGGAAACATTTCCCCTTAATTATAATGTTTCTTCTGGGCTTTATAAATATTATTTGGACAGTTTAGAGTGGGCTGTTATTAATTTGTTCTGAATGAATCTCGAATTAACAAAAGAGATTTCTATACAGAATTGGGTTGACATAGGATTGGAAGGGGAGAAAGAAGGAAATAATAGTGATAAGAAAACACAATGTGGATACTGGGACTGTTTCACAAGATAAGATTTCTCTTTCCGTATGTACTTGAGTTGGAGTCACTTGCTTGGTTCTACGCCTAGCCACTGTAATGACAATGTTCTTTTTGAGCCAGGCGGAAACAAGGGAAAGCACAGTGAGTCCTCAGCCAATATATGGTCATGATTTGGTTGGAAACAAAGAGGAAGTGCTTTGACCACAGCCCTCGCCTCCAAATTGTTAGAGAACTCCACATGATTTTCTCTGTGATTTATTTTTTTACAATGTTATGTTTATTTCTTAATTAAGCCTACATGTAACTGAAAGTACTTTCACAAGTCTGTATGCTTTGTTACATGCTACACAATTAAAAGTCCAGCTTAACTGCAAAAGTATATGTTTTGAAATGATCATTGACCTTTATCATAGAGCAAACTTTGACTTAAAAAATTCATAGTTTTACACAGACACTTAATAGATATTCCAATATAAATTTCTAGAGATTAAAGTTAGGAATCTGAATATTTCACACAGAATTGCAAGATTGAATTTAATAAAATAAATGAATTAATTTGAGGGGTTTTTTTTGTTTTAAGTTCTTATATAATAGCTAATCTTTTATAACTTGTGTTTTTTTAATATGTTTTTTATATCATTTTGTTCTCTCATAGTTTTTACAATGTGCATTATTTTATGATATTCTTTTCAAGTGTATCCATCTTGAAAATAGATCTTTCAGTATTTAAAATTAAAAGACTAGGACTAGACTAAAAAAGGGATCCAAGAAAATTATTTTTTCTTAAGTGAGTAAAATTATTTTTCTCTAATTCAGTATTTTCTTAGTTCATCATCCAGTTCAGGTATCTCTTACTTAATAGAACATGTTTATATCAAAGTTAAGAACTGGAAAAATAATATGCATAAAATGACATATCCTGAAATTACCTTTTGTTCTATTTGGGTCTCTGAATGAACCAGTTAATGGGAAAGTGATGTGAACCTCCAGTGATTACTAGTTTTTTATCCTAAAATCATCCTACCAGTCCCCAAATAGTCTGGCTATAATTTTGTTAAAAATTATTTAAACCTTAATCAATAAAAAAATTTTTTTTTAATTATTTAGATAACAGAAAGACTAATAATAAGAAACACCCTGTCATTTACTGAATGATCCTAAATGTTTAGCAGTTTTTAGACAACTAGAGTTTATTTCACTGGACATTGGTGTGGATCACCGTTCCCAAAGAAGCACCAAGCATTCCACATCCTGGGCTTTTTGTCCACGTATTTGACATTCCAACAAAAGTCTTAACTAAGTGAAGCTTCCTGGAAAGGGGACACTAATAACAAGTCGTGGGAGAGGGAAGTAAATGAAACATCTGTTAGAGTTGGAAGTAAATGAAATTTGCAGTTTATCAGCTTTAATGAGTGAATGTGACATGTAATCCTAGTGTCTGAGCTCAGCGGTCCAGATTTCACTGTTGGTTCTGCATTTTACTAGGTAGGGGTGGGATGTGTATCTTGGCTTTGCCAATCTTTGTATCTTCTCCTCCCTCTAATACTGCACTGGTCAGAAGCTTTATAAATTATTATTACTATTTTTACTGATGACAGTACAAACTATTTTTATAGTTTCTTTGAAAAGTGTTTTTAAGGATATACTTTACTCTTATGTTTTTAGTGTCTAAAACCTTTCTTTTTAAATGACACTCATTTTTAATTTTATAATGAAAATATACTTTTTGCTTACTGAAATGTTCTTTTCAAAGAGTGGAGAAATGCCTTCTCTTTAATTTTTTTTTCTTATTGATTTGTATAAACTCTTTCAAAAAGGGGGGCAGAAAGGAAATTAGCCCTTTGTGTGCCTTATGTGTTGCAAATATTCTTCCAGTCTGTTATTAACTTCTCTACTTTGTTTATAGATCCTTAATTTCTAACTTCTATGTAGTCAAATTTATTTTTAATGACTTCTGTTAGTGTTGACCTATTCAACTAAACACTTCCTACAGCAATAGAATTTTAAGCAAGACCTATTTAAATTTACTTGAGATAGTTATTTACTAATAGATAATAGTAATGCCATATGCATATATAGTATTGTCATTCAGGATAATGTCTTTTTCTTGACGTAGATCAAGCTTCTGAGATCCAGGTGACAATGATGCTCACTGAAAGTTGTAAGCTGCGAGGCCTTCATCACAGGTGAGAGGAAAAACCACCAGCACTCGCTAAGCATGGTGGCATTGATTTTCACATTTTCCTTTTAAGGACTTTGTGATGTGTTCTGAATCTAATAGTGTCTTTTTGGATAGTTTGGTGTGTGTGTGTGTGTGTTTGTGTGTGTGTGTGTGTGTGTGTGTGTGTGTTTTCCTGAGTATAAAAGGGAAATACATGCTCATAGCATAAAATTTAAAAATGCAGAGAAGTCTATAGAAGAGCATGTGAGCCCACATCTGGACAATCAGAGCTAAGCATTGGAATGTTTATGCATATTTATGTGCATATTTCCCTTTAAAAATAGAATAATAATAATACATGTGCTAAAAAACTTTGTTATGAAATTTTTGAACCTAGAGAATGCTAACGTCAAGAATAATAAACACAAAAAGACTGGCTCCTAAATTCATTGTTAGTTATTAACATTTTGCCGTTTTTATTTGCATGTGTACATGTAAGTATATGTGGCATCTTTCTGTGCAGTTTTATTACCCCTTTGCCCCCCATGACTGTAATTATCCTGCAATCAGGTGGCTTTTGTGTCTTGCTTTCCTATGAAATCAGCTTTTACTCACGTTCTCATAACAGCTCTTGTTGACCATTTTCTTGGTACGTGCTTTCCTATTGTTTGGGTGGGCTCTCCTTTACTTACTTTTTGGACATTCAAGTTGTTCGCAACTTTCTGCAATTAATATTAATTGTCCTTGCTCTTGTAGCTTTTTTTCTTTATTAGACGTGTTTAGGAACAGGAATCTTTTTAAAGCTATATTATTTCTGTTTATCAACAATTTATTAAATGCTTGCTTTCTGTGATATAAAATATGAGGCATTAGGTGTAAAAATAAGAATCCATATTAGTTTTTGCCTCCTAAGAATTTTCATCGTAAGGGGAAGATAATGTAATTATATATAACTGTGGGAAAAACTAACAGTTATTTCTAGGTACCAATTAGGCAATAAGGTGAAATGTATTGATTGTGCCATGGAAATTAAAAAAGGAGTAAGGTTGGTTTTCCACTGCTTAGCTTTGCACATGACAGCAACGTTTAATGGTTGGTGGGATTCCTATATTAGAGGTACGGAAACTAAAGCCCAAAGAGATGGTCGCACAGAGAGTTAATGGTAAGTTATGGGCTTGGAAATTGGATTTTAAATACCGTGTGATCAGCTAAGATCATCTTGGCTTTTGTGATAGTTTCGGCCCCTTACAGGCCTTCTTGATTGTCATATTCTTGTCCGCAGTCCGCATCAAGGCTTTTTTTTTTTTTTAAGTATGATGATGGACAAAATCGGGTATTACCATAATATGCTCAGAGTCAAACATTTGTCTCTAATTATCCTTAGAGTAAAGATTTAGTGTGGCCAGATGTGTCTTCAGGGAATCCAGTCCACAGGAAGCAGCTTTGAGCTTATAATGTTCCCTATCGAGAGAGGGCACCTATGGGAAATGTTGAAGTCTAGTTTAAAGGAGCATTTATAATCTTATATTTTTAATGGTAATCGTGTTTCTAAGTACATATGTTAGAGATAATTCTTACTTTATTTTAGGTTTTCTTTATTTTATTGCTTTTTATTACAAATAAGCCCCTGAAGTTTTAAGTTTCACTTGTATTTCTCCTGATTTCTTATTATTTTATAGAAATCTTCTTCCTATTACCCATGTATGTATAGAAGAAGGAGAAAAGCCCATGGTGATATTGCCTTACATGAATTGGGGGAATCTAAAATTGTTTTTACGGCAGTGCAAATTAGTAGAGGCCAATAATCCTCAGGTGAGAAAATTTGCCAAATACCAGTTATTTACCAGTAGTTTCTGATATTATCTTTGAAAGCAGATGTTTACATTCTTAACTATAATCTGTGTGAAGGCCTGCAAAAAGAACCTCAAAGTGAATTAGATGGTGTTTATAACCTGTTGGTCTGGAGGAAGATTGCTTTATGATTCCTGCCTAAGGGTGTACACTTTGCTGATGCTGAAGTTTTTCTTTGTATACCTACTGTGTATTTATTTAGAATGACCTCAAAATCTCTGTAAACCTTCCTAGTCATTTCTCTAATAACTCTTGAAGGTACTTGAACTAGGTCTCCCTTCTAGGCATGGAAACAGGCCTATTTAGTTCATATTCAGAGCCATATTATACCAAAAGCTGGTGATGACTGGAGGGTGTATTTTTATTTTTATTTATTTATTTTTAAATATTTCTTTATTGATTTCAGAGAAGAAAGGAGAAGATGAGAGAGGGAGAAACATCAGTGATATGAAAGAATCATTGGTCGGCCGCCTCCTGCACACCCCCTACTGGGGATTGAGCCCGCAGCCCTTGAGCATGTGCCCTTGGCTGGAATCAAACCTGGGACCCTTCAGTCTATCCACTGAGCCAAGCCAGCTAGGGCTGAAGGGTGTATTTTTAATATGCTCGGCTGTAAGATGTCAGTCATGTAAGCATGTCTCTCTGCACTGCTTGTGCCATAGCTGTGAAGCATTAGTCAGATTGCAAACACATCGTGATGGCAGTGGTGCTAAAACCTAGTAGGTGTTTGCTGCCACTGTATCTTGTAGCCCCATTAAGTTTGTTTCAAGATGTATAATAAGTTGCCAGGAGAACATGGATTCAGAGACTGCATTGAGTATTTGGCTGAATACATTTGACATGCTTTGGAAACGGACAAGATGAAAGCTGGTTCCTAACCAATGGTTGGAGGCTGAAGCCCCAGCATCACTTGGGGAGGAATGTCGTTCCTCCGCCCACAGTCCTGGCATCCTGGCTCCAGGGAGCACATCAGGGTGGAGAGGGCTGTAGGCTTGTAGTCGTTTAAAAATGGCCCCTAGGGGATAATCTCCTACTAAAATCTATTTGAAAAGAAAAGAACTGGTTATTGAGTAATAAGAATCTGAAATGTTATCTTGTGTTCAGCATTGAGCAGACACTTAGGAGCAGCTAGCTGCTGTGTGTGCTGGATGCTGGGGAGATATATCTAACAGAGGAGAGAAGTAAATGGTAAATTATTTTACAGAGTAAGGACTATAGTAGATATAAGTACAGGGAATATATTCTTAGTCAAAAAGTAGCTTTAAAAAGAAAACAGCGTGTAAGTATTAAAAGTATTTTGGGATAGAGTGGGATTATGGAATAAAATAAGCAGCTGCCATCATAATTTTTGTGCTAACTGCAAACCTTGTCATCTTCTGTTCCCACAGGCAATTTCTCAGCAAGACCTGGTGCACATGGCGATTCAGATTGCCTGTGGAATGAGCTATCTGGCCAGAAGGGAAGTCATCCACAAAGACCTGGCTGCTAGGAACTGTGTGTAGGTGCCACGGGCTCATCACTGTCATCCAATGTTTAGTATTCCTTGGGTTTGGGGTTCTTTCCAGAAGTCACAGTGGGAATCATATTCTATTTAAGAGTAATTGTGACCTATATTTTTTAAATACTCTGATTGCATTTGATATTTGTATCTTTACTTTTTAGCATTGATGACACACTTCAAGTTAAGATCACAGACAATGCCCTCTCCAGAGACTTGTTCCCCATGGACTACCACTGTCTGGGGGACAATGAAAACAGGCCAGTTCGGTGGATGGCTCTGGAAAGTCTGGTTAATAATGAGTTCTCCAGCGCTAGTGATGTGGTAAGTGCTGGGGCACAGATTTCAACAAAATGGAAACAAGGCTTTCTGGTTTATTGTTGTTGTTGTTGTTGTTGTTACTAGAGGCCTGATGCACAAAATTTGTGCAAAGGGCTCGGCCCTCACAGCAACGGCTTCGTCTAAAAGGTCATCTGGACAGTCGTTCTATCTAATTAGCATATTAGATAGAATATCATATTAGATAGAATATCTGTTCAATCTAATTAGCATATTAGCTCTTTATTATATAGGATTATTACTATTGAAATCTAGTAACTTTTCCCTGAAATTTTTCATTGAGAAAGCAAGTGTAGTTAGCTCAGTCAGCCAGTTTATGGGAGAAGCTGTGACCCAAACCACGGTCCATCGTTGTGTGGCATCTCACAATAACCCCATGAGGAACACTGTTAACACTATGGGGTAGGCAACTACAATTATCTCAGTATCTATTTTTTTTTTTTTTTTTTTTTTTTTTACAGAGAGGAAGGAAGAGAGAGTTAGAAACATCGATCAGTTGCCTCCTGCACAGCCCCTACTGGGGTTGTGCCTTGCAACCAAGGTACATGCCCTTGACCAGAATCGAACCTGGGACCTTTCAGTCCGTAGTTCATCGCTCTCTCCAATGAGCCAAACCAGTTTCAGCTTGATTATCTCAGTATTAAAGGTAACAACATTGAGGCTTAGAGAGGTTACAGTATTTGATTATTCTTATTTTCTTTTTGAAGTCTCAGAATGACCAAGTGGTTGGTTCCAAGATCACAAAAATTTACTGCTTTCTTTTTTAAAATGACCTCTTCTAAGTATTATGACCTGTGTAATTTATAATTCCTCAGATGTCACTCTTTCCCTCTGTCAGCTTCTGGGTGTTCTGTCCACTCGAGCAGATCACGAAGTGGGATTCTTTATACTTAGTAATGTTCAGTTTCAGAAGTCACATCTACTTATGGATATTTTGCAGGCATTTTTAAGTTCTGTCACTTTTTAATCTGTTTTGAAAGATGAATTTATTTTCCTGTCTCTTTATTGTAGTGAATATTCAGAGGTTAGCTTAAACTGCAGATAAGGTAGATATAAGTACAAGCAGCTATGGAAACATATTTTTGGTTACAAAGTAGCTTTTTAAAACATTCAGAGTGTAGGTATAAAAAAGTATTTTGGGATAGAATGGAACTGCAGAATAAAATAAAGATTTGTGCCCAGCTGGTGTGGCTCAGTGGTTGAATAGTCGACCCATGAACCAGTAGGTCATGGTTTGATTCCCGTTCAGGGCACATGCCTGGGTTGGGGCTTGATTCTCTGGGGTGTGCAGGAAATAGCTAGTCAATAATTCTATCTCATTGTTGTTTTTCTCTCTCCCTCTCCCTTCTTATCTAAAATCAATAAAAACATACTTTAAAAAAGAAGCGATTGCTATCAAAATTTTTGTGCTAACTGCAAACACTGAATGATCAGTGATATCTGTTAGTGTTACATGTGAAGTCCTAATAGAATAATTTGTTTCAAAGTTACAACTGTAAAAAATGGGCTTGCTATGTTATTATATATTGTGTCTCATTTTATTTATAGTATCAAGTTATCCTTTTACTTCTACTAGTAAGTGTATGTGCTTGAAGGGTTATTCTTTTAACGTACTCTTTCCCTCAGTGGATTAGTGTCCTGTGGCCACTGTAACAAATTACAACCACCGTGGTGGTTTGCAGTGACAGAGATTTATTCTCTCAGAGTTGAGTTCTGGAAGCCAAATGTTTGAAAGCCAGATGCAGGCAGGGCTCTGCTTCCTCCAGAGGCTCTCAGGCAAACCTTCCTTACCCCTCCCAGCTTCAGGGGCGGTTGCCGTTTCCTGGTTTGGGGCTGCCTCTCCCTGCTGCATAATTCAGATTACTCTCTCCTCCCTGTGTGTTTGTCTCTCAAAACTCTCTCTGCCTCTCATAATGACGGATATGATTGTATTTAGGACCCAGCTACATAAGCTAGGATAAGCTCTTATTCTCAAGGTCTTTAACTTAATCACTTTTTTTTTTTTTCCACATAAGATAATATTTACAAGTCTCAGGAGTTTGAATGTGGACATATCTTTGGGCCATCTTTCAATGTGCTACATTCAGCAATTGAAATTATTTAAGACTTCCATATTGAAAACCTGATATTTTAATTTGAAATCTTTGACATTAGAGTGAGTTAATAAAGGGAGAAACCCTCTCTTGTTAATTAAAATCTAATTACCTTTTTTTCTTTTTTCAGAGGTGAGGTTAGCTATTTGATAATAGGGTGCCTTTTTTATATACCAAGTGTCCTGATTAAATGTGTTCACTTGATGTGGGTGAACAATTTACTTACGTTGTCTTTTGCCTTTTTTCTGTTAATTAAGGTCTTGTGTGGTGCATATATATCTTCAAAAGACTTTGTTTAAACTTAATTTAAAATCAACCATTCTCAGGAAGAAAAACCGACATATCTGACACTTGTCATGTGCGTGATGATGAGGAAGGGAGGTTTTCCTTGAGGAGCAGCTACACAGGTTCACAGTGAATAAAAACTGGCTTCTTGTTGCCATAGCCGTTCCAGCCAGAGGCCTGGGTGGAAACACATCCAGTCTCTTAGATCCGAACCCTAAGGGCTCAGTTTGTTTAGCAGTGGGGAACGAGGCCTCATCTGTTTTCTCATAATAGAATAAAACTTCTCTAACATTGTCAAGAAGTTACAACTTCAAGTAAAACCATACAAATATGCAAAGCATCTAAAGAAAACGTGGAACTTTTCTTTAGGGGGGAGGGTTGCTCTTTTGTTTTTGTTTTTTCTCAAATAGTATAAAAAGAGAAAACAGAATTGGAGTTTTGACCAGTATACAGCTGCTGTATTGAATGACAGTAAGGACCAAACTGTACATGTTTTTAGGATTACCAAATCTTTAGTCAGGAGTTCTGAATCGTAGCTGGAATTCTTCACCAGTTTCTACATTAAGCAAAACTGTTTATAAGGTATGTGAAAGATGATTTAACTTTGGCGTTAAAACAGTTCTTTTGTTTTTTTTAAAAAAATATATTCTTACTGGTTTCAGAGAGGAAGAGAGAGGGAGAGATAGAAACATCAATGATGAGAGGGAATCATCAATGGGCTGCCTCCCACATTCCCCTACTGGGGATTGAGCCTGAAACCTAGGCATGTGCCTTGATTGGGTATCGAACCCTCCTAAAGCAAAGGCTAATAATATTTGTAATAACTGCCGAAACCGGTTTGGCTCAATGGATAGAGCGTCGGCTTGGGAACTGAAGGGTCCCGAGTTCGATTCTGGTCAAGGGCATGTACCTTGGTTGCAGGCATATCCCCAGTGGGGGATGTGCAAGAGGCAGCTGATCGATGACTCTCTCTCATTGATGTTTCTAGCTCTCTATCTCTCTCCCTTCCTCTCTGTACAAAATCAGTAAAATAAAAAATAAAAAAATAATTTAAAAAAATAATATTTGTAATAACTTTGTGAGGGACAGATGGTTACTAGACTTATTGTGGATCACTTCATAAGGTATAAAATATTGTGTCACTGTATTTGTATGCCTGAAACTAATATAATATTGTATGTTAACTATAATTAAAAATATATTTTAAAAATAATAGTATAAATCAGGAAAAAAAATATATAGGTATAATTATTGTTGTTGTTTTTTTCCATTATGGATGGAGTTGGGAGTTTAAAAGCTACACTTAATTTTCTGCTTTTGGGCTGAAAAACGTCATGCAGATTCACATGTAAAACCAGTAATATAGCCTCCCTCCCACCAGAGTCTCTACACATGTAAAATACATATTTGGGTATAAATGTAACAACTAATTATATTACGGCTTTGGAGGGGACATTTTCTTTGTCCTTTTAACATTTTTGTATTTTTTTTTATAGTTAAAAACTCTACATGACTTTTTTAGGAATATACTAAATGTTTACCATCGTACAAATAATACATTATGTCCCTGGATTGTGTTTTCACAATTTTTAATGGAAAGATTCTATATTTCAATATGTCAAGATTCTTATAAAGCTAACATCAGCTTCTAACTGTTGAACTTAGGAAATGCGCACAACTAGATTTGACTAGTTATAAATCTCTTTCAAACATTATTTTAAGCTATGATGTCATCATGGGCATTCTTAAGAATTTCTGAATATTGTTTTTATTCTGTTTTCATCAGATATAAATTCCATCATAGATTTTTTTGGTGACTTTCTTTTCCTTTATTTGAAAATAATTTTTGATTTATATTTTCTTTGAATTATTTAGCTAATTATAGTAGCTAACAATTCTGTTAAAAGACTATCATTTATTAAGAGACTAAATGCAATCAAGAATGCACAATTAAGAGTTTCGTTCTTATTGGTTTTCTTGTCTTTATGGTATTACATTGTGTTTAAAAAGCATTTTCTTGGGATAAACAAGTCAAGGAAATGTTTTTGATTCTAATCACATCAGTGAGGTTTATGGCCACAAGGAGATCTTTCAAGATATTTGAACAGTTTTTAGGGTGCTGGGCTTCTATTTATTTTGTAAACGTGAAACATTACCTAGAGGAGGGAAATCTATGAAGTTCTCTAGGTAGGACATTTATAGAAGAGTGCTTCTTATGACTCGTAAGCACTGCCCAGTCCCTGGAAAGTCATCGCCATGCCCTGAGCTAACCTGAGCAGGAGAAACTCATATTCATAACTTACCCATGAGGATTGGTCTTTTGACCTAGAACTACTCTAGTATCAAAAACAAAACCATACTTTTCAGAGAATCCTTTCCCCCATCACCATTATCTCCGCTATACCCTTCTCCACCTCCCCACCCCACACAGTCACCACACTGTTATCCATGTCCATGAGCTCTTTTTTTTCTCAATCCCACTAGAAAACTATGTTTTATTTTTTATCTTCATTATTAATTTTATAATAATGCTTAAATGCTTAATATGTATTTGCTGCCATTATGGTTGCAGATTTTATACATCAACAATCTTATACTTCCTATTTA